CCTAAATTATTCAGGAAAGTGAAAAAAACAATTCATTCTCATTATATACCAAACATTTTTCTGGTCGGGAACTGAAGGGCTGGTTCATGAATCATTAAAAAAAACTGTTTTGATATAATAATATTCTGTTTTGATTTAAAATAAATAATATTCTGTTTTATAAAAATATAATAATACTTCGATTTAAAAAATAAAAACAGTTTTGATATAATAATAATATTCTGTTTTTATATATAATTGTGATATATGTAGATATATATATATATATATATATTTAGTCATAAGATTCATTACTTGAAAAGTGTTGAAATAAAAACATTAAATGGGTTAGAAATAAATAATTGGGAATTAACTATGGAAGTAGGAAAGGCAATCGTTTTTTTAGTAGTTATGTAGCAATTATGTTTAATTTAATTTACTGTTTTAGAATTGTAATAGTTTTTTTGTTTTGAGTCTACAAAAGACCAAGAGTGTGTAATTTATCAAACATAGCAATATACAAGAAGTTAGAAAGTACACAAAGTCTCATTCATATTTTATCAAATTGGCATCAGAGCTAATGGCGAATATGATGAACCAAATGCCGTTACCACGGCTAACGAAGTCCAACTATGAAAACTGGAGCATCCAAATGAAAGCTCTTCTTGGATCTCTAGATGCGTGGGAAGTGACCAATGATGGGTTTGAAGAACCAACAGAAGTTGGAGGATATACAGCAGCCCAAACGAAGGCGTTGAAGGAGTTGCGAGCGAAGGACAAAACAGCACTATATATGTTGTTCCGGACTGTGGATGAATCAGGCTTTGAGAAGATTGCTAGTTCGACTACGTCGAAACAAGCGTGGGACACACTAGAGAGGGTGTTCAAAGGAGCAGACAGAGTGAAGCAGGTTCGACTCCAAACGCTTCGTGGCGAATTGGAGAGGATACAAATGAAGGATACAGAAAATGTATCAGATTACATCACCCGTGTGCAGAAAGTGGTAAATCAACTCACAAGAAATGGAGAAACAGTGGCTGATGCAAGAGTTGTTGAAAAGATCTTAAGATCTTTAACAGACAAATTCGAAAATCTGGTGTGTGCTATAGAAGAATCGAAGGATCTTTCGACGCTCTCAATCGAAGAGCTCACTGGTTCGCTCGAAGCACATGAACAAAGAAAGATGAAGAAGAAAGAAGAGGCAGACGAAGAAGCAAACCAAACAAAAGAATCGAAAGATGAAAAAGTACTCTTCTCGAACAACTTTCGAGGAAGAGGACGTGGACGTGGAGGACGTGACAGTGGTCGAAGTGGTAGAGGCAGTAACTTCGAAAGAGGAAATTCGAGCCAACAAAACTGGCGTGGCAGAGGACGTGGCCAAAGAGGTGGTCGTTCGAATTACTCAAATTTCGAATGCTACAAGTGTGGCAAGTATGGCCATTACGCGAAGGATTGCAATTCCTACAAATGTTACAACTGTGACAAAGTAGGACATCTTGCAAAAGACTGTCGAAATGAAAAGAAAACTGAAGAGACAACAAATCTGGCCCTGGAAGCATAATCGAATGAAGGGTTCCTCCTGATGGCCCAAAACGAAATCAACACCAATGACAGTATTTGGTATCTTGACTCAGGAGCAAGTAATCACATGTGTGGTTACAAACACCTGTTTAAAGATATGAAGGGAGTTGAAGATGGCAGCGTGTCTTTTGGAGATGCATCGAAGGTGAAAGTTGAAGGAAAGGGCACAATCAGCTATTTGCAAAAGGATGGCTTGATTGGGTCAATCGAAGATGTCTACTATGTACCAGATCTTAAGACCAACATATTAAGTCTGGGACAGCTCACTGAAAAGGGTGCTTCGATCCTGATGAAAGATCGAACACTGCAGTTGAAGGATAAAGCAGGATATCTGATTGCTGCTGTCGAAATGGAGAGAAATCGAATGTACAAACTTAATTTGAGGAACATTCGAGAGAAATGTCTGCAGATCGAAGTACAAGACAAAGCGTCATTGTGGCACATGCGCTTTGGTCACCTACATCATGCTGGTCTGAAAAGGTTGGCGAAGAAGAACATGGTGCATGGATTGCCAAACATGGAGTTCGAAGGAAAATTCTGTGAAGAATGCGTGCTCAGCAAACAAACCAGAACATCATTTCAGAAGAAGGCAGAGTATCAAGCCAAACAGATACTCGAATTGATACACACTGATATCTGTGGGCCAATTACCCCAGAATCATTCAGTGGAAAAAGATACTTCATCTCCTTCATCGATGACTACTCAAGAAAAACCTGGGTCTATTTTCTGAAAGAAAAATCTGAAGCACTCGAAGCATTCAAGAAGTTCAAAGTGATGGTGGAAAAGGCAACAGATCGAAACATCAAAGCAATTCGATCAGACAGAGGAGGAGAGTATACTTCGATTGCCTTTGTAAAATACTGTGAAGAACAGGGGATAAGAAGATTCCTTACAGCGCCATATTCACCTCAGCAGAATGGTGTGGCTGAAAGGAAGAATCGAACTATCTTTGACATGGTTCGATCAATGCTTAAAAGCAAGAGTATGCTGAAAGAGTTCTGGGCAGAAGCAGTACAATGTGCTGTTTACATTCAGAATAGGTGTCCACATTCGAAGCTAGAAGACAAAACACCACAAGAAGCATGGAGTGGTCAGAAGCCAACAATCTCCCATCTCAAAGTATTTGGTAGCATAGCTTATGCGCATGTACCAGACCAACGAAGAACAAAGCTCGAAGACAAAAGCCAGAAGTTCATATTTATTGGATATGATGAGAAGACGAAAGGGTACAAGCTGTTCAACCCTATAAGCAAGAAAGTAATTGTAAGCAGAGACGTTCGAATGAATGAAGCCAGCAAGTGGGACTGGAACAGTTCGACAGAGGCTGTTGATACAGTCGAAGAAACCACTATAGCTGTACCAACTAGAATTTCAGAAGAACATGAAGAAACAGAAGAAAGAGATGAACCTCTACAACCTAAGATGAGAAGTTTGCAAGATCTGTATGAGTCAACAAGTGAGGTGCATCTTGTGTGTCTCCTGGCAGATGCTGAAAACATAAGTGTTGAAGAAGCATTAAGAGATGAAAAGTGGAAAAGCGCCATGGATCAAGAAATTAAAGCAATCGAACACAACAAAACCTGGGAGCTTGTCGAATTACCAAAAGAATGTCAACCCATTGGTGTAAAGTGGGTATTTAAGAAAAAGATGAACGCTCAAGGAGAGATCGAAAGATACAAGGCACGACTGGTTGCAAAGGGATACAAGCAGAAAGCTGGTATTGACTATGACGAAGTATTCGCGCCTGTCGCAAGAATGGAGACAATTCGACTACTCATCTCTCAAGCTGCTCAGTTCAAATGGAAAATATTTCAAATGGATGTCAAGACAGCATTTTTGAATGGTGTGCTCGAAGAAGAAATCTATGTGGAACAACCACTTGGATACATGAGAGCTGGAGAAGAGAAGAAGGTGCTGAAACTGAAGAAATCATTGTATGGGCTGAAGCAAGCACCTAGGGCATGGAACACACGCATAGACACATATTTTAAGGAGAGTGGATTCGAGCAATGCCCTTATGAGCCAGCGCTCTATGTGAAGAAAAATGGAAGTGATTTATTACTTGTGGCACTGTACGTTGATGATCTCATTTTTCTAGGCAATAACATTAAGATGATCGAAGACTTCAAAAACACCATGACAAGAGAATTTGAAATGACAGACTTAGGTCTGATGAGATTTTTCCTTGGCCTGGAAGTTCGACAGGAAGAAGATGGGATTTTCATATCACAAGAAAAGTATGCAAAGGAAATCCTAGAAAAGTATAAAATGAAGAATTGTAATCCAATTTCGACGCCAATGGAGCCAGGCACAAAGCTGTCGAAGTTTGATGGAGGAGAACGGGTCGAAGGAAGCAAATATCGAAGCTTGGTAGGCAGCCTTCGATATCTCACATGCACAAGGCCAAATATTTCACTTAGTGTTGGCATAGTGAGCAGATTCATGGAGGAGCCAGTTCACACACACTGGAAAGCACTGAAACGAATTCTGAGATACATCCAAGGAACAGTATCACTTGGGATATTTTATTCAAAGACTGAAGACTACAAGCTAGTTGGATATTCTGACAGTGACTGGTGTGGAGACATTGATGATCGAAAGAGCACTGCAGGATACGTGTTTTTCATGGGAAACACAGCTTTCACTTGGCTATCGAAGAAGCAGCCAATAGTGACACTTTCAACGTGTGAAGCAGAATACGTGGCAGCATCTTGGTGCGTTTGCCATGCAGTGTGGCTCAGAAGATTGATAAGTAAGATGGAGCTGAAACTGGAAGGTCCAACAATAATACACGTGGACAACAAATCAGCTATTGAGCTGGCAAAGAACCCAGTCAATCATGAACGAAGCAAGCATATAGACGTTCGATTTCACTTCATACGTGAACATGTGAAAGAAGGAAGCGTGGAACTAAGGCATGTGGCAAGCAGAGATCAAGCAGCTGACATCCTTACAAAACCACTTGCAAGAGAAGTATTCGAAAGAGGCAGGAAGATGATTGGGATGCTGGATCGAAGAAGCATTTAATGTTTAAGGAGGAGTTTTGTTGAAATAAAAACATTAAATGGGTTAGAAATAAATAATTGGGAATTAACTATGGAAGTAGGAAAGGCAATCGTTTTTTTAGTAGTTATGTAGCAATTATGTTTAATTTAATTTACTGTTTTAGAATTGTAATAGTTTTTTTGTTTTGAGTCTACAAAAGACCAAGAGTGTGTAATTTATCAAACATAGCAATATACAAGAAGTTAGAAAGTACACAAAGTCTGATTCATATTTTATCAAAAAGCAACTTGATATATTACTTGACTGCAACCATGCACATATTACATTTATTGGAATTGTGATGGGTATCTTAGAAATCCAACTCCCTATGTTGGAAACAAAGATAGTTTATTTAAAGTACTAGATAGGTGCATCATGTCTTGTTTGCATGGTATTAAGCACCCGCAATATTCTTCAACAAGTCTTTTGGAGTAATCTTAGAGAAAACGTCTTCTGCTTCTGATCTAGAGGCAAAACACCATCCATATTCAATATCTGGATTAGGATAATGACCGCAATATTTTCCACTTCCTTTTTTCTCACAATCGGCATCAGACTCACATAAGTTGGGGTGTTCATCAATCGTCGATGAAACTGCAGATCGAGATCTGCATAAACCTACATCGACATTCTGTAGAGCCACATGGTAGCTCCTCAAATGGAGAACAAATCCCATTACATTCTGCTTCTGCGTTTTTTGTCAGGAACATACCTGCAATTGCCACAGCCAACAAAAATTGGAACAACATACACATAAATGGAAACTCATAGTAAGAAAGATGGATAAGTTACTTACCGAAGGTGGCAAACAAGACAACCAAAGAAGCGAGTTTAAGATAAGCCATTGTTTGATAGAAAGAAAACCAACTACAGTTGTTTGTTTTATGTTGCATTAATTCATTCTTGGATGAAACAATTTATAGAGACACATTCATCTACTAGCTGATAGTAAAAGAAAAAAAATAAAGAGATGATAAATTGAATTAAGTTTCAATGAATGCATGGTTTTTTGGGAGCTAGCTAGCGTGGCAATATTTCAAAGCAAAGCAGGCATGATTTTTTTTGGAGGCAAGCTAGCGTGGCTGTATACGAAACTAACACAGTGTTGTTGCATGGTGTTTGGTGGACTAGCAAGTGGGTAATATTTATAATGCTTCACTAATTAAATTTAGAAGCCTTGGACACGGGTTTCATAAATTTAGGAAAGTGAAAAAAATTATTCATTCTCATTATATACCAAACATTTTTATTGTCGGGAAATGAAGGGCTGGATCATTAATCATCACAAGATCGGCTTACACTTATGATTGTTAAGAGATATTATACGTTAACCCTGATAAAATTAATTTAAATCTATTAAATGCAATGCATTGAATATTATAACAATATATAATTTTAATTATATAAAGCAGTTGAGTTTCGATGATGTCACTAAAATAAAACATCTCATTTATAGTTATGATTATTATTTGTATTGTTTAATAAATCGTTCAAAGAATTACACTTTAAGATGATGTTAATAACGAGACAAAGTTTTGTTTTTTGTTGAACTAGGATATTAAATTGTTCTCATGAAATAAACATCCACTTGTTAGTTAGAAATTTGACGCTCAAAGAATTATTGAAAGTATCAATGTTTTGAAAAGAAATCAAGAATGTTGACAAGAATGCTTCGACATAACCAAAGAATGGTCTTTTCGACCATATTTTTGAGGTGATGGTGTGAATTCGAAATTTAGCATTTGAAAGATGTTTTAATAGAGTTCGATAGAATTAGAAATAAGACCGAAAAGATTTAAATTTTGGCGCTTATCTGTTCTTTTCGAAAAGAAATGTGTGGAAGATTGTGGAGGATCGAACGCTTGCAAGCGAAAATGTGTCCTCTTCTGATGAGAAGACCGTTCATATAGAATGTCTCTAATTACAATTTCAGTGTGTTCAATTATTGTACAAATTACTCTATTTACTCAAAGTATCAAAGTTAATCGAGAAAGAAGTCCTCTGAGAATATACGTTTGAAACACCACTATTTATCATTCAATGCAAATTTACGTTTAAAAGTCATTTAAAATTTCTTTAGATTTTTAGTCGAAACCTTTAGTTTCTTGTCATTTATATGCTTCATTATTTTTTTAACCATTTATATTCGAACTTGCTTTTATTGTTAAAAATATCAATATCCAGAAAAACCTATAAAAAATTCAAAACTTTACACTATTGTCCAAGGATCAATCTAGTCGATCTTGTAAATTACCAAAGTCATTAAAATTTGGAAGACTAACGATTGTTTACTAAATTTCACGGTAAACAAATTAGCAAGTCCAGTGAGACACAATTTCTAATTTTAGGAAATTTTATTTTTTACAACAAACTTTTTCTATAAACATTGTTGAATGAGATTCCGAAGTGGTAGAATAGCAAGAATTAGCGAAGTACGACCCAAAAGGAAGTACATTAGAAGAATGGTCAATCCACCAAACAACAATGGTGAACAACCCCCTTCTTCTACAAGGGAAATACGGCTGTAATATCTGTGACCGAATCTATACCAGTCCCAGTAACTACGGCGATGATACCAATGAATTCTCATAGTGGACCAATTCTCTCCCCGGTGTGAACACAGGGTCAACCGGTGACCCCAAGACCACCAGGGACGAGCCATTTCATAAATTTTGTGTCTGGATTTACAATGCCAATGGATGGTCGTGAACAAATTTACGCAATGCCAACATCAGTAATGGTAAGTTTGAACAATAACACGTCAACATTCCCTGATCCACTAATATATACATTTTCACCATTACAAGGATCAGGATCAAGCATTAACAAGATGGGTTGAAACATACAACCCTCTGGATTTGCTTCCTAGATGCCTACAATTACAACAAATACTGTGGTGGTGTTTAAACAACAAATGAATGATAGAAACCACGAAATGGTTGCGGTGCTAGCCCATTAAATGGGCATAATATTAAATCATTGGATCCAAAGCGCTATCCAAATTAATCAATAAAATGCACAGGTGAATCAATAAATGGCATCGCAGATAACGCAAATTGCAAATTTCTTTGGAGCCCCTCAAACCTCAGTTCAGCATCCCCGTCGAGAGTGGCTAAGAGAAAACCAAGGAGTGTTCTTCGAGGAACATCCAACAATTAATCAGGACCAACTAGTTGCGCAAAATATTGGCAAAGTGCACCAGGGGCAAAGACTCAAACAACCTAGGATCGAACAAGAAATGCCTAGGGAGGTATAAGCCCCAATGGTGGTGTGGTAGGGTGGGAGAACTGACTTGAAGGTTTTGAATTTGATCGAAAATGTTGTGCTTAGCAAGAGTCGTCACCCACTTTTCTTTTATCCAAAAGGAAAGGTGAAAAATCACAGGAAAGACCTTTGAGATTATTTCTTGAGTTCGGGGGATAGATTATGAAAAGGGAAGGTATTAGCACCCTTTTCATCCATGTTTTCCATGGGCTCTGAGTTACTTGCTAGATCACTTACTTTTTGTTTGAAATTGTGTTTTGTGTGGATTTGGAAAGTATTTTGTAAAGAGGCCATTATTTAGGCAATCTTTGTAATGATTCTCGTTCGTAAGAATGTATATAAAGATGTTGATCTTTTGAAAATGTTTTTCAAGTTTGTAAGATGTTTTGAAATGTGTAGGTGTTTGTTTTGAAAATAGCAAGGATGTTTGTTTGAAATTGAGCAAGTAATTAGGAGCATTCTACCTACTCAAAAGTCTTTCTTGCACATTTCCTTTTCCTTTGACATTGTTATCTTACCATTGATTTGGTAAGTAACCCTATATTTGGATGTAAACGGGACAGGCGTGGGTCATCGTATGACCATGATTAGCAATGTTGCAAGGCATCTTAGCATTCTCTTTTAGGGACTAAGATCATTTGTAAGGCAACTTAGATAGCGTCATCGAGGGACTATGATCTTGTATTCGTTTGGTTTTGCTAAGATACCTCACATGCGTAATATGGCCATTTTGTAAGGCAACCAAGTGGATTTTATCATAGGGGTGCTTGTGTGCAAGTGTATTGTTTTCATGCTTGCTTTTGTCTTGAATTAGGGATTTATATTTGATTGATTTTGTTCTTTCCATACAAACCCTAATTACTAGAATATAAAGCATTTAAATTACAAAAATAAAAATACTAAACTATTACATGATTTGTGGGAAGGGGGTGTACAAAGTTTGAATGAGGATTGCAAGGAATTAAAACCTAATTAATCTATTACAACCATATTGAATTGAATAAATAAATGTACAAAATATGAAAAGGAATAATGTATAAAGTAGTGAATACAAAAAAAAGATTTTATTTGGTTTTGTCCTTGTTTAAAAAAAAGTTTTTATATTTTTTTAACCTAATGAACCAAAAATAAAGTTTAATAAAAAAAAACTAATTTAATTTAAAAGAGAAAATATTTTTAAGTTTTATGAAGAAGATTTTAACATTAAACTAAATAGTATGAAAATTAATTAAATTAGGAAAAATATAAATTCTATGTTTATTTTAAGAAAATAAAACAAGCCTAAATTTATTTAATTAAAAAAGGTTAGGTTTATAACAAAAATATTTTTGATGTTTTAGTCTAGAAAATAAAATAAATGTATATAGTATAAATAAAAATATATTTTTTATCTTTTTTGTCAATAAAATAAATATTAATATTAATATTAATAATAATAAATAAAAAGAAAAAGAAAATAAAAAGAAAAAGAAAAAGCCAGGGGGTTTATTAGTAAACAAAAGAGTATCATGAGCAAAAATAAACTAAGCCCAATGAAGAGCCCAAATGCTGCCAAAAAAGAACAAAAAAGGAGTTAGAAAATGTAAAAATAACAAAATGGTTACGCTGGGGTTTGAACCCAGGACCATGGGGTGAACAGGCGCGCACTTTACCACTGGGGTGGCTATACATTCGTTAACTTGTATGAAATGACAAATACATAACACAAAACGTGCCCTGACTGTACTTCATCTTCAACCTTCAGCCAAAGGATCTGTAACTTGCTAATTTCTCAACCATTTGCAAAAATGTAAACATGAAAATTGCTCCATTTTGTCACACGAATCCAACCATATAAATAATATAAACTATAAATTAAAGATGAATGAGAAGTTTTAAAAGTACCAAATTTTGACCTAAATATTTCAGAAAGTTCAAACTCAAAAATCTCCTAGCTCAATCAAAATAAATGAAATTTATGGACATGTACAGCTTCAGGGCAATGATGTCTACATTTTATCTTTACAAATGCAAGCCTAAAAATGCCTAAGTAATGAGATATAAGTTCAAGAAAAATACCTTAAAACTGGAAATCGTGAAATGGATTTGAGCTTGTGTTCAGGTAGTGCTGAGGATCAAGTTAGCTTCCTTGGACCTCTAGGAAACTAATGCAATGGCTAGCTTGAGCTGAGGGTGGCTGGAATGGTCTGGAGAAGTCCAACTGTGATGCTCTGTTTTTGGTTATGGAAGACAGGGTAAATGGTGTTACAGAAGTGAAACAGGTACATGGATGAGTTACCCTTGATGCAAGGAAGCTTTAAAAACTAAAATACCAAGAAACGCACGAGGGAAATGTGGGTTTGAGGTTTAAGGTCAAAAATTGTGCAACAATGGAGTTTTTGGGCAATTTCTGATTTGAGAGAGTTTTGGTGTATTTCAGGGTGCTCAAGCTCGTGTTCTAGATCACAAATAGTGCCTCTATTTATAAGCAACAAGTTTGGAGACTTGTTGTTGATCAGAACTCAAAAGTAAAGGTTTATGCATAATATGTGATTTTTGAGAATTTCAAGTTTCCAAGCATTGTGTACTTGCTAAGATAGAG